CGCCGCCGCGGCGGCCTCCCCCCAACGGCCAGGGCTCAGGCGTGCCGCCCGACCCGCAGGACAGCGGCCGCGGAGGCCGCGACCAGCCGCAGCCACGCCCAAGGAGGGCGCGTGGCAGCGAAGAGCACGTGAGCGACGAACACAAACTCGTGTGCTACTACGCCTAGCTGCAGCGCAGGACCTCCTGGGGAACCACCACAGCGCGCAGCAGCCCCAGAGCCACCAGCTGTACGCCATGACGCAGCACTGGAAGCAGCAGCGCGGCGCCTCGAGGGAAAGGTGGTCAGGAGCAGGGACCACGCACCTCGAGGCGTCGCAGCGCGGCGCTGGGAAAAGGTGGACAGGAGCAGGGTCCACAGCCCAGGCGCCCTCCCAGGGCCCAGGGGAAAGGTGGTCAGCAGCAGGGACCACACACCCTGGGCCCGCTGAAGGGGAGCAGCCATGGCCATGGCGGAGCTCCACATTCCAAAGACAGCGTCCTTGGAGCAGATCTGCTTCAAAAAAGAACGACGCCGTCTACATCCAGGACTTCGTCCTCAGTAAGAGGCAGCAGGCCATCGCCGATGCCGTGCTCGAGCTGCCTTTCTCCCTCTCTCGTGACCACGAGTCCTTCGGCCTCCCGCCAGAAGATCGCGACATGAGGAAACTTTGGGTGAGGAACCTCCAGCAGAGGTTCGGCCGTGTCGCCGATCAGATCAGCGGCGCCCAGTCTGCCAAGGTTGACGCCAGCAAGTTGCTCACGGAGGCCTCGGCCATCAATTGTATGCTCGCGATGGCCACTGATCCACAGGTGCGGCTACAACAATATCGGTACCAGATAGAGGTGCTTCAAAAGAGCAGAAATACATCCATGAGAAGAAGGAAGCTCTGCAGACAAAGGCGGACGCCAACACCCAGCGCATCTCCGACCTGAGGCGCCTCATCGCGGATGTCAAGCTGGAGATCGCCGCCGAAGCCGACGCCGATTGCGAGGCCGACTCCGAGGACGACATGAAGAAGTACAAAGACAAGAGGGCCAGCACCCCATTTCGCCGTCGCGCCAGTCGAGAACCTCCTTCCTCGTGCTCGAGCAGGCCGGCTTCCCCATCAAGCACCATCGCAGAGCAGCTCAGGAGGAACGACGAGGAAGCACGCCGAGAAGGTATGGGCCAGGCCAGCATCGCCAACGCCGAGCTCCGCAACAAGTTTGAAGAATCTGAGGGAGAGGTGGAGGCCATGCGCCAGTGCTTTGCCGATCTTAAGATGCAAAGCGGAGACAGGCTCGTGCGTCGCGAGCAGGCGCTATCCAAGACGGCCATGAATGCCACCGAACAATCAATCCATAGCAAGGAACACCGAGGCACTCCGCCGCCAAGAAGCTCAGCAAGAGCGAGCGTTGCAGCATCGAGAGGCGATTGTCCATCAGTTCTACGCCGAGAAGACGCGGCAGGAAGCGCAGAGGATCGAGAACCACGAGCGCGCGTTGAGACGCGACCTCGAGCGGCAGAAGCTCACCTACGAGCAGAAGCGCCAGGAGGCTCACTACATGCTCGATGCCATCCGAGCGGAAACGGCCTCCCAGACTTGCATCGCGTCAACCTCCGAGGAAGCAGCCCGCCAGCAAACGATGAGTGAACAACTTCATCGCGAGTGCGTGCGACTGCAGCGTGAGGTTGAGGATAGAGCAGATGAGCCGGGACCTCCGCCTCGAGGAGCAGGCCGTGCAAGTCATGGCGGCCCAGGAGATGCACAGAAAAACGACGTCGCTGAGCGGATCGCGGAAGCCCGAGCAGACCTTAATCGAGAGGAGATCCACCAAGAGCATGTGATCCAGCAGCAGACCGCCATTGCCGCCAATAAGCTCTTGGAGGAACATTCCACGGTCCAGAGGGAGCGAGAGGTGGTCTACCAGTAGGCGGAGCTCCAGCTTGAGGCGCAGCGCCACATCCTGAACAAGTGCGACCAGCTCGAAGCCGAAGAAGCGGAGCTCCAACGGGCTACCCTGCAGCGCCAGCTCTTCTTCAACGAGGCCCAGGCTCTCCAGCAGCAGATGCAGCACAAGACTGGGCGCGACCAACATCAACGGGAGCAGCTCCTGGAGAGATACGGCCAGCACGAGGCAGATATGCGCCGGCAGCAGCAGCTCGCCAACACTGAGCTACGAGCCGTACTGGCACAAAGACAATCACATGAAGAGCATCACCATGAACAGCTTGCCCGACAGCAGGAAGAGCATCGAGTACACCAAGCACTTCTCGAGAGGGCCCTGTGGGAGCAGCTCGGCAGCATCGCGCCCGGGATCGACGCTGACATGCTCGACGGCGTCGCCAGCGCGCTCGCCGCCGAAAACTAGAAGCAGAAGATGCAAGCCCAAGCCGACGAAGAGGAGGCCTACCAGCGGGACAACATGCGCTCCGCCCTCCACGCCATCGCTCCGTCGCGCGAGTTCGACTACGACGTGGCCCGTGAACCGTGCTGCGCTGAACTCGACCAGATGGCAACCCCGAAGATTGCAGAACCTCGTGGCGCTCCCTCATCATCAGGATCTTCGAATGGATTAACGCCGCCCTTCTACTGCAGCCTCTGCAAGTCTTGCGGCAACTGCGCCAGCGCCAAGACGGAGGTCATCAGGTGCAGGCACTGTGGGAGCGAGAACATCGAAGATCGCTCCGTGGACCTCGGCTACAACGGCACGCACCCAGCTATTCAAAAGCTCCACCAGGCCACCGACCCGCACGACAACCCGCAGCCACAAGCACCAGCGCGCAGCCCATCACCACTCCCACCACCGGCGACGACGCCGCAACCACTCGGCCCCCTCATCGACCTCGTATCCCCCTCAGGAGTTGCTCCGACGCCAATTTGCGGGAGACGGAGCGCCCCCCGGAGACTCCGAAGACGCGCGAAGGATTCTTGGCCGAGACATCCGCACCACTTCCCACACGACACGCAGAAGACCAGAGCTTCGACGACCCCAACGACCACGACCTCGGCGACTCAACGCGCACTCCGACAGTCCGAGCATCGCCGACCCCCCCCCCCCCACACGAGCAACCGATACCAATTGCCTCCTGGGGAGCAGGCCCCTTCCTTCCCTCCCCGACACCCATGGCTGCCCCCCTACAGATGGCACAGTCCGTGCCGCTCCCTGACGATCCCATTTCCCCGCGACACTTCCGACCGTCTCACGCACAGACCACCTTATTGGGGAACCCAGACCCCCCCCCCCGCTCCCCCATTACGCTCGAAGTCGGCCCCCCCTTCGCACCCGCCCAACCATATTCCCCGAAGCCACTTCCAGCGCGATTCCACATCGCCACTCCTGACCATGCCAGATCGGCACCACCATCGGCACTCCGAAGGGCAAGCACCCGCAGCAGGCCCGCGCGTAAGGTACGGATCCTCGATGACGGCGACGGATTCGACAACCCAATGGACCGCAGGCGCTTCAACCCCGAGAGTCGGGAGGGCAGCTCGGGTTCAAGCTCAGACGCGACAAAAAACTGAGCAGGACTCCTCCGCTGGGGGGCAACTGGCCCAGCGGAGGAGTCACAACCTCGCCAGAAGACCGAGCACCTAGCCCGCTCAGAGCGGCTATACGTAACAACCAGCTCGACGGAGCAACCACTGAGCCCCAGCAGACGTGCTGTGCGACCCGCGCGGTGCCAGCCACTCGGCGACAGGCCCAGGCGCCTCCGCAGCCGCGCGCCCCACTCGGGAGGCTGCCGACCGCCTCAGCGGCGTTAGCTTGTGGGTTAGCACACCGCCTGGCGCCGACGGCCGCGCAACCTAGCACCCCACAACCAGCGACAGCGACAGAAAAAAGGAAGACCAATAAAAATATTAGTTTCAACACTACCAGCGAGTGGGTAACCTACTCAGCCGCAGCGCCCTGGGACCATCGCTACGACCCTGGCAGCGCGCAGGCACTAGCAACCGCGACTGCACCAACCGTTGGACCGAGGACCATGCCCTCGGCCGACAACCGCAGTGTACCAACAACCCCGCCTAGGCGGCCAGCGAGGCCAGACGGGGCAAGCCCCCATCGACCCGACCGACCCGCTTCCCCGAGACGAGCCCAGCAGAGGGCGAACCAGGCGACCAGCCACTATGGCCCAAAGGCGCCGTACCAACTTTCACCTGAAGGGCCTGGCGAAGAGCCCCGCCAGGAGGCCAGCCGACGTCAGCAGCAGCAAGGACTGCAGCAGCCGCAGCAGCAAGGACTGCAACAACCTGAGGAGCAGCACCAATACTTACTCCACAGGCCCCTTCGGCTGGACCTCGGAGACTCCCCGAGGCTGGCTTTTCAGCATCGCCGTATTCTCCCCCTAGAAAGTCCATCAGGACATCCGACGGCCCACCAGAGGCCAAGCCTGCCAACGCCACGGGGCCAACAGCGGTGCCCCTGCAGATGCCCTGGATGCGCCGCCAAGCGGCGCAGACGCCCAGAGGTGCCGACGCAGCACCGCCCGCCCCTGTGGCAGACAACTGCATCATAGATCCACGAGATCCACGACATCGAAGCCGCATGCCTTGACGCCAAGCATACCGACAGGGGAAGCGCCATGCAACCCTTCCGCTCTCGAACCTCTGCTACCCCCATTCCCCCAACATCGACGTGCCTGTCTGGCGCCCAAGCACAGCCTCGCACTGCGGGCCAGCGTCTGCATCGAGCAAGAGGGAAGGCCATTCAACCATTCAGAGCGACCAATGTCAAGCACCCAGTACCACCCAACCAGCCAACAACAGCACCCGACACGCCACCCCCGCTGCTAGAGCAGCGCAGGGTACAACTCGACGAGCGACCAACCATCCGACAAACGATCCAGCAATCCATATCTCCCCACATCACCTTTGACCTATGCGACAGGAGCCTCAACGAGACAGCCGACTACATGCTCCGTCACCACCCACAACCTCTCCAGGAAGGAGCAACTATTCATCTCTTCACGGGCGGCTCCAAAAACCCGAAGAAGCAGAGCGACGACGCCTGGTCCGTTGTGATTGTAGGTGACGACAACCACGGCTTCAGCTTCCATGGAGCCATCATAGGGAAGCACAAGAGCGGCACCGACACCGCCCTCAAGGACAGCGCCGAGCACGAGACCGCCTCCACGACCGTCGAGATCACAGCCCTAATATGGGCCTTCGCCTGGGTGATACACTACAACCCCCACCACATCGCCGCGATATCCACGGACTCGCTCGGCGCCCTGCAGCTCGCGAAGAGGCTCGCCTTCGCCGACCACGACCCCAAGCTCGTCAGGACACTCTGCATCCTCTACGACATGGTCAGCAACAAGATCGACTTGCAGCACGTCCGCGCCCACGAATACAACCCGTGGAAGGAGGTTGCCGACGCCGCCGCCAACCACGGACGCCTGCAAGAAGTTACACCTCCTCAGCCAGAGTGGGCATGCGTCATGGACGGCGCATCCCAGCGGGACTGGGAGTTCCTGATCGGCGCGGATCCCAACACCGAGGAGGCGCACCCCGTATTCGGGCACGGCAGCCTCACAGCTAACAGGGTCGAGGCGACCGCCGAGGCCCGACGCTTTCGCAACCCCGCCGAGTCAAGCGACGAGAAGATTCAAGTTTAAATAAACATCGCGACCTTCAACGTCCAGTCGGGGAGAAAGCCAAAGGAAGGATCGAAGCGTCGAAAAGAGAAGATCAATACGCTTAAGTCCACGATGGCCTGCCTGTGCGACGAGGACCTCCACATTATCGGCATCCAGGAGGCAAGGGCGCCTTGGGGCGTCCGCGATGCAGGACGCGACGACGACGCCAGATGCGCCAACGCCAACTGCTACCGCATCATCTCCAGCGGCCACAAAGGGTTCAACTACGGCTGCGAGCTGCACGTTCTACTCAGCAAGCCATGCGGCAAGAGCGGCCAGAGGGAGCTCTACTTCAAACCCGACCAGTTTACAGTCATCGTCAAGGACCCCGGGCTCCTTATCGTTCGCGTTGCCGCCCCTGGCTTCAACCGCGTGCTTGCCGTTGCCCGCGCCCCGCACTCGAAGGCCCTCGCGACCGAGAAGGATCGCTACTGGAAGAAACCCGCGGAGACCACCGAAAAGCACCAAACGATCATCATCTTCTTCGACGCAAATGCCAGGACAGGCAGCGTCACCAGCGCGGCCATCGGCGACAAGGGCCTCAAGCAATACGAGGACCCAAACGGACACCATCTACATGAACTTCTCCTGGCCAACCACCTGGCGGCCGCCAGCACCTTCGCCAGCCATGGACCAGAGCACTACACTTGGCACTCGGGCAAGGACCCTCATCGCATCGACTACGTCATCATCCCCAAGGGCTACATCGACTCTATCGAAGAGTGTGCCGTGCTCTACGGCATAGACAGCGGCCAGGACCCAGAGACCAAGGGCGACCACTACCCAGTCAAGCTGCAGCTTGCCTACCAGATCGTCTCGTCCGTCACCAAAGGAGTCCCGAAGTTAGACGAGAGCAAGCTAGCCGACGAGGGATGCCGCAAAAAGTTCAGCCAAAAACTCGACGAGGTCAAGCACCCCCCCTGGGACACCAACCTCAACGAACACCTCGCCATAGTCGCCGAGAAGATCACGGAGGCTGCGTGCGAGTGCTTCCGCTCCCACGGCCGCACTCCACACGCGCCCTACATCACCAGGCGATCCTGCGCACTCCTGCGAGTTCGCCGCCCATTACTCAAGACGACACGGATCGCCAAGAAAAAAACAGGATTGCCAGCCACCTCGGCGACAAGAGGCTACGCTACACGGCCAAGCTCATAGCGAAGGAAGCTCTCCTGCCCGCCCCCGCCGACGTGAGTGCCCTGGCCGATCTCAGTGGCTGCGCGAAACTTGTGGTGGCCTCTATCATATTCAGCACTCCCAGCCTAGCGACCTCTGTCGTGGAACCCGACGAAGTCAACGCCGTGCACAGCGCCCAGCACTACTTTGACGCCCTCGTTCAATTTCTCAGGACGTCTAAGTCGATCCTACAGAAGTGGATCACGACAGACCGCGACGACTTCCTCGAGAGGGCCGCCAGCGAGATGGGCACAGCGATCGACGACCGCGCCCCCCGTTTAGAGGCCCTGTATGCGAAGCGACTACTGGCCTTCGGTGGACGAAAGTCCAAGAAGCCACCGGCGCCCATCATCCGCGCCAACGACCACGGGAAGCCCCTCACGACGAAGAGCGAGATCGCCGACCATGCCCTGGCCTTCTACGGCAAAGTCGAGCAGGCTACAGCCACGGACGCAGATGGGGTAGCAGCCGACTACAATAAATGGACCCGCCACGAAGGACCAGGACCTAAGATCCAGAACATAATACCCAGGCACCAGCTGACCAGCCAGCTCGCCGCCGCCAAGCGAGGCCGCCGAGGCGGCCCCGATCAGCTCACCGACGACATGTCCAGAGCCGGCCCTGAAGGGATGGCTCGTCTGCTCCGCCCCGTCCTAGTCAAGACCCACTTCGAGAGCACCGAGCCGATCGCCGCCAAGGGCGGGTACTCCACTTACTTCCACAAGGGACAGGGGGCCATGGGGCTCCAGAAATCCTACCGCGGCATGCTGCTCAACAACACCATCGGCAAGATGCACAGCAGCTTCCTCCGCTCCCGCGTGAAGGGCCTGCTACCCGAGCTCCTAGAAGCAACCCAGTGTGGCGCCCGACCCAAGATGGCCACGGATTTCATCGCTCGCGCCAGTCTCGCTTTCATCAGCGACTGCCAAAGGAGATCAAGATCATGCAGCATCGCCTTCCTGGACCTCAGGGAGGCCTTCCACTCCGTCATCAGGGGATTTTGTATGCAATTGCCGACCTCCGCCGACGAGCTTAACGAGCTCATCGAACGAATCGACATTCCCGACTTCATCAGACCAGCGCTAAAGAAACGACTTCAGCAGCCCGCCTACAACAACCAGCACATCGACGACGAGCACCTCTGCCACATGATCGCAGATCACCATGCCACCAACTGGATGGCAGCCAAGAGCGCAAGGCACTACCAGCTGCCTCGGACCAGCACCCGCCATGGAGTGCCATGCTCGGACGTAGCCTTCAACATGCACTTCGCCAGCGTGCTGAGGGCAATCGACCAGGCAGTCCGGGAGGAAGAGGCCCATGGCCAGCATATACGCGGACGCGAGAGAGAGGCCTGCAGCGAGCCCCTCTTTTCACCGAGCCCTCACGATGGAAGCGTGCTCAGGAACATGTCTTTCGTCGGCGACCTCACAGACTACAACTCGACCGCGAACGCCAGCGAATTGATCAACGCGACCACTCTGGCAGCTGCCAGGCTCTGCGCAGCAGCGTTCCAGCATGGCCTGAAGCCACGCCCTGACAAGACCAAGGCCATCCTCATGCACTACGGCGCGGGGGCCAAGAAGGAGAACCAGCGGATCGTCAAGGGGGGCGTCGCAAACCCCGAATTGGACGGACTTTCTATGAAGGTGCAGCTAGTAATGCAACAGACAGCCCTCGGTGCCATCATCTCGGCGGGCGGGGTCGTGGGGCCAGAACTCTGCCTAAGGGTCAACCGTGCGCTCGGTGCAGCCTGGCCTCTCGAGAAGCAGATCCTTTGCCGCAAGAAGCTCTCGGAGAAAGCCAAGGTGAAGTACGTCCACTCGTTTTCGACCTCCTCGCTGACATGCAGCCGCCATGTCTGGAGCGACCTGGCCCTGAAAGACCTGGCGCACATACCCGCCAAGTACGTGGGCCCATGCCGTGTTGCAGCCTCGCTACCCAGGACCAACTCACCCGACCAGCACATCTCCGAAGCCGAGGCAATCGCCAAGACAGGAGTACCCGACTTCATCACTCACCAGTCGACAGCGCGACTGCGATACTTACCAAGACTCCTGAATCATGCTCCAGCCGTCCTGTTCCAGCTCCTCGACGGCCAGCGCCAACGAAAGGGCGCCTGGGGCCGCCAGCTCAAGAAAGACTTCGACTTCCTACGTACGTACTTACCAAGAGAGAGGTGGCCCAGCCAAACCCAGCACGACCGCGACATCATCAACTGGGCCCGACAGAAGCCGAAGCTATTCACCAACGCAGTCAAGGCAGCTTTGGAGGCCTAAATTCTCCACATTCGCGACCAAGCCCAGGGCGCCAAGCTCCAGACGGACATCCAGATGCTCACCGTAGCTCACCCAACTGAAGAGTTGGACCCCGGTGACGACACCAACAACCAGGAGTGCGTCTGCTACGCCTGCGGCCGAGTCCCTCCAGGCAAGGCATGTCAATCCATATGGGCAGGGTCCGCCCGGACCACGAAGGCCCGCGCTTCTGGGCCACAGGCACCGCGTGCCGATGCTGCCAGACCGAGCACCACTCTCTTCCGAGGCTCATCAAGCACTTATCGGTGGCTCACCGTTGCCGCAAATCCTGGCATGCCTGGCGCATCCAGACGATGGAGCCCCTGACGGAGCAGCAAATAGCAGAGAACCTCACAGCCATGGCCGAGTCCACAAACGCCAACAAGAAGCAAGGACGACACCCAACCTTCAGCGACAAGCCAGCCCACCCGTGCGACGTTACGCCGCTGCCGCTCCTCGAGACGTCGCCCGCCGTACCTAAAGTATTCGCCGGACTTGAGTCATCGCCAAGCAGCCCGCCCGCGAGCTCGCCTGCAGGACAAGCCGAACGCCAAGAGGTCGTCTTCATCACCGACCGCCCTCGACAGGCCGCCGACCTCCAGCAGATCATGGCCAAGAGCGGGATCACGAGTATCAGCGGCTTGGACTACATCCAGGTCGCAATTCACAGCGATGGCCAGACCTCAGAACCAACGCCAGAACTTCGGCGAGTACAACGTAGGATCCTACATGGCGAGATAGCGGCAATCTACGCAGAGTTCCCACGACGAACCTGGTACCTACACGATGCCAGCGATGTTCTAGGCAGCAGAGCAAGCAAGCGGCGCACCCCCGAGGCACCATGGGGAACGCTTCAAGTCTCCGACACCATCGCCGACGAGATATTCGCCGCCAACAGCGTCACACGAGAGGTCTTGCGTATGCTCTTCACAGCCACCACAACCAACGTCCCATTTGTCGCAGCCATCTCGGCGGAGTCGATCATCAGGCAGACTCCTGAATATCAGTACATCGCCAACCTGGTGACCGTCTACGAGACCCCGTCAAGTCACTACGACCTCGGCGCCATACAGATCCTCGACAACGGCACCAGCGACGACCTCCGAAACATAATGTCCACGGCAAACGCAGAGGAAATCGACTTTGCCATCGCCGACATGCTCGACGGCAACATAATGGCTAGATGGGGCCTCAGAACCGCAACCTTTGCGCCCACCAGCCAGAACCTGAACACCTACGACGCGTACTGCATCGAACGAGAAGACGAAGTGCCTCCTCGTGCCGAGGGCGACCGCCACGATGGGCGTCAGCGACGACAAGCTCAAAAGGCGTCAGGGCGCAAGTCCTGAGGAAGCCCCGAGTGCGTGGGAACACCTCAGGCAGCGTCGCCAAGTTTTGCATGGGGCGTTAGGGCGCAAGTCCTGGGGGCGCCCCGAATGCTTGGGGACACCCCAGGCACAGTTCGCCTCGGTTTGTAGTATTGACGAAGGCAGCGGCCACACGAGCACGAGTTCCGCGGCTACCAGTAAGCCGCATTACACATGCCCTCCACCCTCGCCAAACATCACCGACCAACTACAACCCTCGACCCAAATGACGGCATACCACACCGCCCCACAAGTCAACGCTGCCCTGGTGAGGCAAGGATCGCGCTTCGAGACGGGCTCGATGGGTGGGGGTGGTGGTGGGGGTGGGGGGTGGGGGGTGGGGTGGGGTGGGTGGGTGGGCGGGTGGGGTGGGGGGGGGGGGGGGGACGAGTACTGCCCGCGCCTGCCAGGGGGGGTGGTGAGGGGCAGGGGGGGGGGGGTAGGGCGGCCGCTACCCGCGCCCCCGCGGTCCGCCCTAGCTCGGCACCCCCACCATCCCCATGGCGAAGGTGGTGCTTGCCCGATCGCCCAAGGGGCGAAGCTGAGGGCAGCCGAGACATTCCTTACCGACAGCAGCAGCAAGCACCAGGCCTGGGGTTCGCCCCCACCGAGGGCACCGTGACCCCTAGCCATAGCGGGGCGGGGTGGGGCCGCCACGAACCCTACTTGAAGTCGGTGCATGGAGGCTTCTTAAGTGCGCCCATAACCCATACCACAACCCCAGCAACACTCCGACCTCCCTGCGACCTACCCATAGACATTCAAGACGACCAACCACAACGTTTGGGACTAACCGCCGACCGACCACCCACCCCGCAACCATCACCCAGCCAACAACCACCACCACCTCGACACAACCCGCCCGCTGAAAGGAGGGCAGGAGAAGGGTCCTCAGCAGCGTGGCACGACGCAACCAAGACGGAGCCTGCTGAAAGGAGGACCGGAGCAGGGTCCTCAACAGCGAGGCTCGACGAGCATGCCTGGGAGACGTCGAACAGGAGGACAGAAGCAGGGCCCTCAGAACCGACCTCTTGCAGGAACGCCCGCAGAAAGGAGGACAGGGGCAGGGTCCTCAGCTGCGTGGCCGAACAAAGGCAACCAACACTTGCACCTCCACCCCGCCAACTACGACCAACACCTCGACGTGACCAGCCCGCTGAAAGGAGGACAGGAGCAGGGTCCTCAGCAGCGTGGCGTGTTGAAGCTACCTCGACTTCAGCTGAAAGGAAGACAGGAGCAGGGTCTTCAACAGCTCTGAAGGCAGTGAGCGCATGGAGAGCCGCCCATAAGGAGGACAGGAGCAGGGTCCTCAGAAACGGTGTTCAGCACTTACGCCATCAGAGAGGAGGACTCGCCATGAGAAGGGGGTGGCGCACCGTGCGCCGCGGCGAGGCCGTCCCCAGCCCACGGGCCGAAGGGAGGCACGGCCCGCCCCCCGTGTCACATACGGGGCCGCCAGCTCAGCCGAGCTGCCTCGCGGCAAGAGAAGGTCGGGCGCCCCTCAGCTCGCGAGCAAAGGAGGGGCGCCCGTCGCAAAGAAGGTCGGGGAGGGCGAGTTCGGGGCCCACCTGAGGCCGTCGGACTGACGCGCTACGCCGCGCCGCCCGTCGGCGCGCCGCCTCACTGAAAGGGTTCGCTGAAAGGGCGAGGAAGAGGACGAATACGGAAGGATGAAGAGGAGGAGGAGGAGAAGGAGGAGGAAGAGGAGGAGGATGAGGGTGAGGAGGACGAGGAGGAGGAGGATGCAGGATGGACCATGCAGGAGGAGGAAGGCGGTTGAAGGAGAAAGGATACGATGACGGCTATGATGTTGTCGGTTATGACAGGGAGTAGGAGGAAGAGGAGGAGGAGGAGGAGGAGGAGGAGGAGGAGGAGGAGGAGGAGGAGGAGGAGGAGGAGGAGGAGGAGGAGGAGGAGGATGGAGGCGGAGGTGGATGCGGAGGCGGAGGCGGAGGCGGAGGAGGGGGAGGAGGAGGAGGAGGAGGAGGAGGAGGAGGAGGAGGAGGAGCACGTGTAGGACGGATGAGAGAGAATGGGGGACGAGGGAGGAGGGCAGATGA